GGAAAAATACTACGTGATGAGAATGATTTCAGTGATGACATTTATAATATAGGTCATTTGCTGAAGTAACCCCAAAGAAGGCCCAGCAGCTTTGGTGGAGGTCTCTAGACAGAGGAATCACCAAACTTCAGTGCTGGCCTCACTCTTCTCCTAGTGACTTCTAGGAGATACCTGTTAGTCTTGACCACATAGTAAGAATCAGCAAAGAAAATCCTTCTTGCTTCATTTTAAGGCATTCTTGAAAGTTATTTACGTCACTGTGTAATCCTGAATTTTCCATAAAACTCTTCACACTTCCTAACTTCAAAGTGTCCTTTGCCATCTGGCTAAGTATCTTCTGCAAAATCATTACATGTCCAAACTCCAAATTACAAAATCTACACAAACTTGAAATGGAACTTTATTCCCTCCTTATTCCCAAAGAAATGAGTTACCCCATTTCTGATGTCAAGCAATAATGTCAGTACTGATGATCTTTCTGACAAGTTATTGTCTGCTACTTCACAACAATTGAAAGGACTTCCTTCTCCGGTGGCATAAAAGAAAAGACCAGAAACAGTACTACTTAAATGCCAGAAATTGTTACTTACATGCAGGAACCTGGTTCACTCCTGCCTTTGTTCCTTGCAGCTCTTCTCCTTTGCTATCAACACACCAACAATCACGAAGTTCAAAGTGGCCTAATGGAGCACTGAAATCAGTATAGGGTCCTGGGTAGTATGTCAGCTGCTCATTCAGAAGCTGCCAGAAAGTATATGGATCCAGCAAAATGCTCTGAGATCCACTGGTCAAGTTTCCCTCCAGCACTTCAGGTGGGAGATCCGTGAAGGAGGAATACATGGCAAATGCGGGAAAGACATTCTGGTGCCCAGCCTCATACAAAGCTTTAGCAAAAGCTGAAAAGCCTTTAGATGATGCCTCTTTATATCCAGATACGATGTTCAATAGATCAGCAACGGGCAGGGGTTTGCCCTCGTTGTTCTCTGCAATCCACCTTTCGTACCACTCAAAGGCTTGCTCGGGAGGGCCACTGCACTGCACCTGCCTCCAGGCGCCCTCTGCATCACACTGTGGGAGGTAAATGCTGGAGAGCTGGGACACAGCACCTGGATCTGACAACAGGAGCTTTGCAGCCTTTAGAAACTCCTGACCAGCTTTTACTTGGCAAGCACTTGGGCCTGGGGAAAAGAAAAAAACATGCAGAGCACGTCTTATGAATGCTCTGAAGATATACAATACCCCTACCCCTCTGTTACAATAAACACCACTGCTAAAACTTGGTCACTCATCCCAATACTAACAACAACATTCCTGGCCTGTTACTAAGCGAGCTTAGTGATATTAAGGTCCCATGGTGAACCAGGGTAAGATTTCCAAAGGGACATGAGCCCTGAAAGATGCATAAAGATATGATTTTTAAAAATATGTGAGTACATTAGGTGCCTGTAGTTCTTATTAGGGGGATAGGTGCTTGGTGCCACTAAATGCCTTCTTGAATCTGTTTGCACCAACCAGGTATTTTCAGCTACACTTGGTAATTTGGGAGTTGCTTCTTATTCAGCCAATCCCTGCAAAACCAGTCATCTGAATAGCATGGTAATACTGATTTTATTTCCCCTTGAACCTAACCAGAATTTTAAGACTGTGTGTCCTCTCTTCCCATTCTCTACTGAACATTGCTGCTAAATACGAAAATACCATCCCTCAAAATACTGGAGTGAGTTTGATTTGGAAGTCTTTTCTGCCAAATTTCACTTCCCCACCAAGCAGCTCTACAAACCCAGCAACCCACAGGAGATCATCTTCTTTTGGGCACCAGAGAATTCTGAACCTGTTTATTTCTGGTTGCACAGATGGGTTGCTAGATATAAAACTCATCCCAATTCAGATCATTGTGATAAACTCCCTACTACTTCTGCAAACTGTGATTCAAAGGAGCTCCCTCACTACATACCACTCTCTGGATACTCTGATATTCCTCCCAAAATGAGAAGCAGGCTCTTCTTTTGGTCTGTTATACCTGTTGATGTGCCATTTTCAGTTCACAGAAACTTGAAAGACAAGTATCCCCAGCCCATGTGCTTCCTTTTTCCTTTGTATTTCATTAATAAAAGGGCAAGAAGAGGCAATTCACAGTCTATAAGCAAGTTGCCAAATTGATGTCTGAGCAGTCATTTGCAACTCACTTTTCTGGCCGGACTGCATGGCCCTTAAGAGAAGCCTATCAGACATTGAATTTCTCTCTTTTGTTTGGACAATACATACACTGTACTTCCCACTATCCCCCTGCCACTGCAAAGTTGACTTGCTTTCCTTTTAGGAGACAATATCATTTGTATTCATCATCCATATATCACCAGATACAATCAGATATAAAGAAAGAATCATGAAATTCCAACACAAAAGAAAGCATCTTTAAATTCCCAGTCCCTAAGACTTACATTTCATTGGTTTTCCAGCTTTTCCCCTTATTCCTGGAATAGTCTTGCCATTCAAATCAACACAGAAGCAATTTGTTCCATAACACTGGAGTGGCAGAAAGTCTCCATCCTCGGTACAAGAGGGAATAAAAAGGTCTGATCCCGCAGGCAGACTTTGCTTCAGGTTTTGCAGGTTTCTCCTTTGCTTCTCACAATCAGTGGGACACCTTGGACGTTTGCCTGGAAGTCTTGAGCCTGGAATTTCCTTACCTGAAGTGTCCAAGCACCAGCACTCTCCTGCATAGCACTGAACTTCTTCATATCTCCCTTCCTTGGTGCATGTTGGAACAAACAGATCCCTTGGCTCCTCACCACAGTCTTTGGATCCCAATGCTAGTTTCACCACTTCACCTAAATCTTCAGCAACGTTTTTGGGGACAGAAATCACTTGTTGAAGAAAAGTAAAGAACTCTGGCAGTTCTAGAACAGAGGAAAGGAATTTCATCGTGTTCTGATTGTCCTGTAGAGTTACTATGCGGCCAAAGCTGCCTACAAGAGGTTTACTCAAAATGGAACTCCCCTTTGATACCTCCAGTGAAAATGCCTCAGCTGATTCCAGAGGGCTTTGGCTGTTGTTCCTCTCCGACACATCCTCCTGTTGGAAAAATTGGCCAATGCTGTATTTCCCACTAGTGCCAAGTGCCCCTGTGAAGTTAAACTGGATCAAATTCTTCAAGAACCTTCCTCCGAAGAGGTTTTCCTGGAAACGCTTTGGATTGGCAGTAAATTGTAGTGCCACTTGAGCCAGCTCCCTTGACGGGAACATCCCCATGATGGCTTCACTAAGGGTAGTTTCCAACCCAGATGTCTGGCTGACAAATGGGCTTTGTGCAACTGGGGATGACAATCCAGAGCCCAGAAACAGCTCCTTGAAGGAAGGAGGGCAGGGTCTTGAAAAGCCAGCTGTTTTTTCCGTCTGCTTATCTGGTGTGGAAAACAAACTGGACTGACTGAAGTACCCAGCAGGGCCATAAAAGAGCCTCGTCAAGGCCCGTCGCCTCTCAGAGATGCACCCTTGTTCTTCACCTAGGGAAAGATTTAAGAAAAAATATGCAAGCTCTGGTATCTTCCACACTTACAACTCTATTTCAAGCAGCTGGGGCAGAAATAACTCAGAAGTGCACATTAACCTGATTCTCAACTGTGCATCGTGCACATTGATATGGAAATTTGAACTGTTATTGCATATGCTATGTAAATAAAATTCACCAGTCAAGACACAAAAGGAAAAGAAATATTCCTTCCCTACGCCCGAGTTCTCTGCTCTACAGGTTCTATTGCTTCCCAATGTAAATCTTCATTCCTGTTTCTATGGCTGAAAGAACAAAGTCTTTTCCAAATACTGTAACTCCCTGGTAGGATGCCTGCTGCTAATGGAAACCTCTGATGATCCAGGTGCAATATGTGAACCTAAGAAAGAGAAACTTTCTGCAGAAGAACAGAAAGCTTTTTTGACCAATGCCCCCTAAGGGGGAATTTATGGAGTTTTCCTAACTAGATCTGCAGTTTCATAGTGAGGTGTTCATTTACAAGAGGTTTGAAAACAAATCATTAAAATAAGCAGTAATAGAGTGCTAAGGACCATGGATGGCATTCACAAGCAGGCTCTAAGGGAAAAAATACAAGATTTCAACAAAATTAGTCAAATATCAGGGTATTGAGGGTACCAACAGCGACCCTGGCCACCCATACCCTGGGCTAAGCTATGTCACAGGTGTAGCTGCATCCAGATCCATCTGTAGATTCATACACAGGCAGCAATGGCTCCAAGATAGGATGCAACACATCACTGAAGAAGGACTAAGTCATCAAAAAAGGAAAGACCTGGTAAATATAAAGACATTGAGAATCAGACAGACAGGATGGTTACAGCACTGACTGGATCTCTGGAACCCATACAGCAGCTTGACTCATGTGCCACACAGTTACCTTTCCTTGAAAAGTAGCAGAATTATAGAGAAGGGATGCAGAAGTAGCAGAACTATAGAGAAGGGAGGCAAAAATATTGGAAGGACAGAACATATTTTCCATTAGGAGTGACCATTCAGCTTAAACAAAAAAAAAAAAAAAGATAAAGGTTTTCAAAAAACAGGATTCTCCACATCATTCACAGTAGACAATTATTATTCAGTATTTCTCACAGTACAGAGAAGTCCAGAAGTGGAACATGTAATTATGATTGTGAAATTTATTGCTAGAGAGTGCTAGGAAAGATAAAGGGTTAAGGGGCACTTAGGCAAATCCCTGGAAGATAACTCCATACAGGAGGGCTGAGCACAATGATCTGGGCTCAGCCTTCAGTTTGGGGCCCCTCCTGCCTGCAGAAGGATATATGGAAGCTATGTGCATTTTCCCCGTTTCTTACACTTTCTCCCTAAGCACCACTGCTGTCCCAGTAGGGGAAAAGACAGCTTTAGTCTGCTCCAGCACAGCCTTCCTTGGGCTCCCCACTCCATCTCCATTTATTCCATGACCAGGCAATATGACAAAGCAGTCATAAGCTCTGTTAACAGTAAGGATAAAAGGTGGAAATCTAAAAAAGCTGCTAAAATAGATAAGCAAGCAAACTGACATTCTGTGACTGACATCCTGTGACTGACATCTTTCTCACTCCTCCTGTTGCACCATTGTCCTGCTCCACAGCTCCTGACAGGGGCTCAGGGTCCCTCCCAGCAGATTCTTTGCAAACATACTTTCTCTAGGACGGGCCCCTCCTGTTTTCAATGTTGGCTCGTGGTTAGAGGGACGGAAAACATTCCTCCAAGGACAAGTAAGTTAGTGCAAGCCACAATTCCACAAGAACAGTAATATGAAACAAATGTAGGATCATGGTTCATAAACACTCTCCCCTCCTAGCCACCATTGAAAAAAATCAAAGCAGAGGGAGAAAGAATAAACACAAAAGCACTGCTGGGGTGAATTTACTGTAAAAGGTCTGAAAAGCAGCACATCCCTTATCAGGACTGCCTGGTGCCCCAGGTGAGTGAGGACCCCACATGCTGCCCATACCTACAGCTCTGGCTCCTCTAGTTCACGGTGCTGAGTGTGAGAGCCAAAGACACTAAAGAATCATAGAATCATAGAATTATTAAGGTTGGAAAAGACCTCTAAGATTATCGAATCCAACCACTAACCCAGCACTGTCAAGTCCACAATTAAACTATGTCCCAAAGTACCACATCCACATGCTCTTTGAACATGAAATAAATCAGAGCAGAACTGGAGACACATACACGGAATGTAGGTGTCTGAAACAGACTGCAGCTATATCCTCATGAAATACCTTCTCAGGAGTTAATCTGAGAAACCTCTGCAGAAATGGTTCCCTGCTGAAATTTCCTGAGTCTGCCAAAAAAAGCTGCAAGCAGCCTCAAGTCATTGTCCCCCCTCCCCTTCCTTCCCACAAAAATCATCAGGAGGGCTCAGGAAAGCACATTCAAAGAGAAAACAAGCAGTCCCAACATATGGCGAGGCCCCTCAGAGGTTCCTTTGCAATATCCTTGGTGATCAGCCTCGGAGGCAGGTTAACATTTTCATTTCACAGTAAGCCTGTCTGTGCCCAGAGCACTCTGAGCACTTGGATCTGTGACACCTAGGGCAGATTCCTCCTTCTCTAGCTGCATTGTAAGGCTGTGTCTTGCAGACAGAGCAATTTACTTTCCCCGAAGGCAGCCCCCACATTAAGACCCTGTGCCCCAGACCTCCAGCACAATCCTGAATATTTAGGTAGTGCACTTCAGGGTGAGGTGTTTTAACTTTCCTCCTCCCCTCCAGCCCTTGCACATTTTTGCTGTCATTTCCATTTAGGGCACTGATTTGATGGTGTATTCTCTGTGGAATCTCTCAAAGCCCAAACCCATACACTTTTTCTGAATTGTTTGTTGGGTGTATTCTTACTGGATTTGGTAGTTTTCATGGCAAAATATGCAGTGACAGAGATGGGGAAAAAGTGCTCAGGGTGGGAGATGACTTAGAAATTCCACAGCATTTCATCAAGGGAAAGAGGTAAAACCCAAAACCACCATCACTGGCTTCTTTATACTATCCCAGATATTCCGACTTAAGACCCCAGCTCCTGGAGTCAAGAGACAGGTATCAGGGCTGCAAAGAAAAGCCTTGCTGCATGCAAAACTAAAAGGCTAAAGAGAAAAGAAAATAAAACTAATATGATATTTAACAGTTTATTAGAATGTGACAACCCCAGGGAGGTTTCAGGATCTCAGTTTTTGAACACCAGAACCCGTCAGAGCTGAGAAAGGAGTTGATCCTTTGTGTTTCCTTTACAAGGACGCCAAGAGATGGGCTTATGTTTCCTTTTCCAAACCTCACACCTACCACAGGCTGGGGGTTGTCCTCGTCTCTTTGTGCCTGGGACCTCTTGCCCCTTGGTGTCCACACACCAGCACTGTCCTCCCTGCTGGCACTGCAGTGGCTCGTAGCCCCCGTCGGCGGTGCAGGACGGCACGAAGGGGTGCTGGTAGCGCAGGGCCGCGAAACGCTCAGCCTCACACCTCGAGGGGCCTGCAAGGAAACCAGTGTGAATTAAGGAGGGAAAGCTTAAAATTTCAGAGCCATCTCTGCTTGATGCCATTGTTTGCCTATCTGGGAGGGAAAAAAAAAAAGTTTAATTTCTTGATTTTTTTCAGTGATATTTCAAGTACCAGCTCGAAACGCAACTTCTCCACCCCCTTTTTCCCCCGGATAATTTGCCCCAGGGTTTTCTGCTGCAGGTATTAATTTTTGAAAACTAAACAGAATATAAAACCTCAACACATTTTTCAGCCACAGTTGCAGGTAGGCAGAGAAGCAGCATCTCTCCTAGGGAGCTGTGCTGGAGGCTGAGGTAGCTCTGGCCCTTAACGCAAAAGTGAAGTTGGTCAACAGAGACAGATGTGCAGCTTGGGGGATTGATTTTGTTCTGATTTTGTTTCTGAAGAGAGTGAGGCATTGCTCCTGCAAACAAATCTGCACCTGACTCTCGAGATTTGAGCTGGGCCCATCCCACTTCTTTATTTCCCTCTGCAGGGATATGAAGACCCTATTACTGTCAAGTTGGCCTTAATGGCAGAGACATCAAAAAATTCATAAAGCAAATTTTCTGAGCTATGATCTCTCCAATACAGGACTTTCATCTTCCAACAGAAATTTTGCTTGTTTATATAAAACTGAAATTCTACAGCCTAAACATCTCTTACTTTCAAGAGCTTTCCAGCTACACTCAGCCACCGGTTTGAGGCAGCGAGAGCATCTTATCAGAGCAACCTGCTCTTAAGGAGTCTGACAACTTTCCTAATGCAAGAAGCTTCAGGTGGTGGTGTGAGAGCTGGGTAAGTCACCAGAGCACCCCCTCGGTGGCTGATGAACAGGGTCACATCTCCATCTTGTGGCTGTTACAGCTTCATCTGTTTTGACAGTTGCTGCAGCCCCAGCTACAGCCAGAGCTAAGCCAGAACCACTGTGCAGTGGGAGGAGGAAGACACTTTCCAGACTCCCCAGAATTATCAGCTTGTCCCAAAACCAGAAAAATGTGTGACTACGTGGCCAGAAGACTGACATCAGTATCTGCTTAATATTTCTAATGATGCAACTCCTTAGTGAGGGTCAGACAGCAACGTCAGAGTAGTTTTGGTGGGAGGATGAAGTATCATGCAGGGGTTTCAAACTTTCCTTGGCCAAGGCAGTTTTCTTGGGCTCTGGTGCAGGAAAGAGGAGGTACCTGACCTCCTGTCCCGCAGAGTTCACTGCCTGTAGGCAGAGAAACTCTCCCCATGTGCCTGCCCTGACCAGGAATGGGCCCAAGGACAGACCCAAAAGTTCAGCCTTGCTGGCTAAGGCACTACGAACTGTTGTGTGACCTCCTGGGAATGGAGTGTGTTGTGGTCAGTCTAAGATCCTTCCTGTTTCTGAGCGTACCAACATAAATTAGGGAGCATTTTCTCAGGCTTTAAATTTAATAAATCATCATATCCATCTCCATAATCTCAGGGCAAGAGATACAGAGGGTTCATGGGATTCCAACTGATGTGAACTTCAAGTGCACAGGAAAGTGTTGAGCAGAGGACACGTACAATCAGCTGGTACGAATGTAAGTGCAGAGTAAGTGTCTTAGTTACTTTTACCTGTCTTACTTTACTTTTCAAGGTAAGAAGGTAGGTGCAGAGGATAAAAGCCAGCTGTAATTCAGAGTCCTTGCTTCTTGCACTGAAATTGTGTTGTTATAAGCTTTTAGAGTGAGAAACTCCTAGAACAACTCTCCCCAATGGCAGCTGTCATACATAAGCTAGGAAACTGTCACCTGTTTTACAGGGCATCACCTGGGTGCTACTTACACCTGAACTTTCCAGAGGTGGCCAGCTGAACTGCCAGGAACCGCCTCTGGAGGATCCGATAGACGCCGGTCTCTGAGAAGGTGCGGGCGGGTTCTGCCGCGGAGAAAACTGTGTCGTAAACCTCATCAAGCAGCAGCTCCAAGCCTGGGAAAGAAAGACTTTCAGCACAGAGCCTGGTTTTAACACAAAAAGTAACCTGGTTTATGTCACCAGAGTAGCAGAACTGGGAGACCATAAAGAAAAAGAAATCCGATGCTCTAAACAGGCCAAATGTGAAGTTATATTGCATAACCCTAATGTACCCAGTGCTGGGTGCCCAGGCACTACCTGTATGCTCTGACATCTATTAAAACAAGGAGGAGAAGCATCTTGTTACTGGCTGTTTGCTGTGGTTTTTTAAGGCTCAATCTGCAGTAAAGACAAGGATGGAATTTTGGAAATTGATGTTATCAAAACCAGTTTTCCGGTCATTTTGGTTGCATACTAAAAACCAAGATGTTCAGCAGGTTTCCTGAGTGCACAAATCTTTTGAGAACTTCTCTCCCTTCTGGGAATTAAATGTTGAAGTTCTTGTCTCTCATCTAAATTTTAAACTATTTTGCTTTGCATTTCTCCCTCTTAAAAAAAAAAATAAAACAAAAAAACCTACAGTATCTAAGGAAGTTCTGGAAGTTCTCAACCTTCTAATTCCTCCTTGTTGAAAATAAAACATTCTTTCTTCTGAAGTGTCCCATCAACTATTAAGATGTCTAAAAGGTATCCTGAGGCTATGAGAGAAGAGGAAGAACCACCTGATGTCCCTGCTAATGGTTAAGGTGGTTGGACTAGATGTTCTGTAAAGGTCTCTTCCAACCCAAACCATTCTATGATTCTACCTGAGCAAGAAGAAAGACTTCATTCTCCAGGCCCTTTATATTCCTCTGTATTTGCTAATTGGACATATTGAATATGAGGCAGCTTTCTGGTTGGACAGAGGATGGACATTCAGAAATCCTATTCCACCATTCCAAAAAGGACAGGGTTAGCTCCCAGGCAGCTTCTCCACTTGATACTGACTGAAGTGGTGCTCCAAAGGGTAGGATTTCATCAGTGAGCTCCAGCCTTTCCCATGTGCACTACACTGGTCACAGTGGTCTTACCCCTTGTAAGAATGAAGTTGAAGATCCAAATGAACCTGAAGACTGATACTTGTTATTTTTCCTTTCCCTTGGGAATTCAACACCACCCAAACTAAAGGATTAAATGCTGGTGGGCACTTACCAGTGTCTGCCAACTCCCTCCCCAGGCTGTCCACACAGTGACAGTACCCAGAGATCTCCGGGAACTTCTCCCGCAAGGAGCTGAATGCCTGGAAAGCCCTCGGGAACCTGGAAGCAAAAAAAGCCTCCTGTGAAGAGCCCAGGGAGGGCCATCAACAACAACAAGCATCATCTATTTCCTTCCTGAATTTGTACAACAGAGGTGTCTGCATAAGGTCAGTACAAAACCCTTTAGTCTCCTTTTGGCAACCAGGCTCTGACATGATCCAGATCAGTGTTCCAGCAGGATAACAAGTCTCCTAAATGCCATTTTTTAAAGAAACACATGACAGTCTCCCTTCAGACAGATTCCTGACCCTTCCTAAGCAGCCACCCAGCATCTAACACTCATTTTCAATTCGATTCTCAACTTTGAAAGCCTGCCAAAGAGTGTAAAATAGAAGGGCGTTGGCTTAATGTTATTATAGGACCCATATAGTAGCTCCTTCCACAAATCTGCACAGGATGGCAGAAAGCCTAAACAAACAGGTTGCTCCCTCTTCCCTACATGCTACGTGTGCTTTCTGCACTGAAATAAGTACAAAAGCTGATAAAAACCTTGCTAATATCTTTCATTTTCAGGGCATGGCTCAATAGATTAAGGAGAGGGAAAAAGGGTTTTTAATGTGCTACAAGTAAGGCTGACTTTTACTTCTGGAGATCAAAGAGATATTAGTTTCCACTGTAATATTCTAGGAGTGACAACAGTTAGATTCCAGGAAAGTAATGATTTAGAAGGAAACTTAATAGGGTCAGAGTTGGAAAAAAACCACAAAAAATGTGATCTTAACTGACAGATATCCTAGGGTTTCTCCAAGCAAAAGATAAGTTTTTCTAGCTTCAAAGTGCCAGGTTCCAAAACAATCATATTATTTTTCGGACACATCCCCTTATCCCGACATACGATAAAGGTGTGGTGCCCCAGCTGCATGGGGCTTATTTGGGAAAAGTTAGCAACAGGGAAGTGAAATTTTCTGCTCAAGACATTCAGAGAATGACACAAATTAAGTTTTTACCAAGGGAGGACACTCAGCAGCAGATTGGGCCCAGATTAACTGAGAAAAAGCAGTTTCCAGCCACCCTGTGAAACTGGGACTGTGACCAGGTTCAATTCTAGTGCCACCCTCCAGCAGCCTCAGGGATGCTCTAGCACATGCAGCCTGAGAACAGCAATGAAATGCTTGTCTGGCTCAAAGATGGTGCTCAAGTGAGTAGAGCAGAGCAGAGCAAGGAGCCTTTGCCACCTCCAGGACTCTGCCTGAATAATACAACATTTTGGGTTGAAAGGAACCTTAAAGATTATCTAGTTCCAACTCCTGTGCCATGGGCAGGGACACCTTCCATTAGACCAGGTTGCTCAGGGTCACATCCAGCCTGGCCTTGAACACTTCCAGGGACAGGGCATCCACAACTTCTCTGGGCAACCTGTTCCAGTGTCACACTCACAGGAAAGAATTTCTTCCTAATATCTAAGTCTAAACCTCCCCTCTTTCTGTTCAAAGACATTCCCCCTTGTGCTATCACTATATGCATTTGTTGATAGTCCCTCTCCATATCTCTTGTAGCCCCCTTTAGGTACTGCAAGGTGTTATAAGGTCTTCCCGGAGTCTTCTCTTCTCTCAGCCTGTCTTCATGGGAGAGGTGACTCCTGAGAGCTCTCCCACCTCCTGTCAGGAGAGCTGAAAATGTTACTGCTTCCTCCTTCTTCAGGACATCAAAGCACAGGCTTGGAAATGCACAAAGCAACAGCAACCTCCGTCAGAGGAAGGGGTTGGTAACCTCAGGGTTGTCCCAGTGTTACCCCGCCATGCTCTCATCTCAGAACTTGCACAATCCTGTGCAGTGCTGCTGTGTTCTGGCACCCTTCCATGTCTTCAAATTAAAACCTACTGACTCCCCCCACTTTGGATTGTCAAATCCTGCTCTGCTGCTGACACTGGCATGCTAAAAGCAATCAAAATGTCATACTTCACAGAACAGAGGGACTTATGTCATATATTTCTGTGGTCTTTAATGTACACACATAACATAAACATGCTTGGGGTATTTCAAGGCCTTTCAGCTCCCCTGGATTATCATGCAGCGGCCACTGCCTAACTGGGAATATGATCTCTACTCTGCACTGCTCATGTCCTTGGAGCTCATCACCTCAGCATCTCAACACCTAGCTGAGTGAAACAGGATTCAGTGAAAAAACTCTGCATGGTGCTTTCCTTCAAAGTTAAGAAGTCACAATTATGCTACTTTTATCTGGGGCAGCTGTATAGTCATATCCTGTCATTCTGGTTATTTTTGTTCCAAGTTGAGAGTACAGGTAAATAAAGTACAAACGGATATAAATTAGGCCCGTACAAACAAGAGGGCAGAACTTTTCTCACCTTATGTGGAAAACTCACTTCCTAACACATTTTTTTTCTTTTCTCAGACTCTTTTTAACCACAGCTCTTACAATGAGTAGCAATAACTCACAGTAGCAATAACACAAAGTTCCTCATCTATCAGAGCCAGGCCAAAACAATGGATAAAGCAAAGGTGACCACATTTAAGTTATGGATAAATTTATAGTGTATCTATGTGTTTCAACAAGAATATTTGCACTCAAAAATACAGGAAAGTAAATAAAAGCGAGATTGTTAATCTTGTCTTTGAACTTTGAGTTGCTCCACTGGTTCCACATGAACATAAAATATGGGTTAAAATCCCTGTCGTACTACAGTTCTTTGCTATGGAGCTCATCCCTTCAACTCTGTATTCTGACCCCCCCTTTTTTTGAGAAGGGATAGATAATGACACTTCAAGCAGGAGTAGTGTGAAAATAAATATATTAATGACCTGAAATACTCAGATATGATGGTAATAGGTTAAGTCAATGCCATAATTAGAAAGGTGTAGAGTTGGGAGTAAAATAATCCTGCTGTGATTAATTACATGACACAGACACAATGTAAGTCTAATCTCACAGGTCTTTGCAGACAAATTTCCCAATGGGAGGAAAAAATATACCAATATAAAGCATTGATTTCTCCTCTGTAATTGCTCTTTTAGAATTTCCACACACCACAGGCCAACAAAAAAAACAACCAAATTATTTTGCTCTTGCCAAAATAACCTCTTCTGAAGCTCTGACAAATTTGCACTGTGCATTTGGGCCCATCCTTCAGTTTTGCTTAAATTAAAAAAAGAAAATAGAAAAATTGACATTTACAATAAAATTGCTTTGCTGCTACAGAGCCAAGTCAGAATGAGACATTACATTTACTCCACTGGCCTCCAGCAGGGAAATGTGCTGACTGAGATGCCCCTCATGAGAGAGCAAAAGGTTTCTCTGGAGAGTCTGAACATCTGTGCCAAAACAAATTCCTCCCCCTTCAGTTCCCATTGCCTCTCCCTTGTTTCTCCATCTCAGTATTAATTCCAGCTCCATCTCAGTATAAACTCCCAGCTTCTCCACAGGACAACAGCTTCTTGCTCCCACAGATAAGGATTTGATCCAGCATTCTGGAGCCTTCCCCAACTCCCTCCAACTTCCTAAGGCCAGTCATACACCAGCATAACAATTCATCACTTGCTTGGTTCTCCTGTGAGCAACCCTGGCACTGCCTAAACAGATAAAAGTTTCCCATCATCACATGGAACTTCACCTTTGTATCTTGCCTCTTGTCTGTCCATCCATCTCTTTTCATCTCCCATATGGAACTGTCTTTCCTACTTCATACATATATCTGAATTCCTCTCCTCCTTCTGTATTTATCTCATTTGGTGTTGTCCATGTGAGAAGTAGCCCTGTCTACTTTTCCAAACACAGATTGCAATGTGGCATCCAGTGCTGTGTGAAGACACACAGATTACACTGCAGGGATGGAATACAATTTTTTTAAAAAAATCAGCAAATTTAATTCAGAAGGAAAAGGCTTTCTACTGGGTCCATTCATTAATAGAAAATAACATCATGTACAGTCACAGAAGAAGGGTTTCATGTGGGGAAAAAAAAAGACAAAAAAACCCAGTAAGACACTGTGCCACTTCAAGTGCCTGGAAGAGGTATGCAGGACTGCTTTCCTGATTCAGAGGCCTGAGCTCTTACCTGTTGTAACTATGAACAAGATCAAAAAACATCATGTCTGTTGTATTGACAAACTTGCACTGGACAGGCAGAAACTCTCCATCTGCTGAGCACTGTGGGGGGCTCTTCTCCCCAAACCCATGCAGAATGCGACGGTCTCGGATCTCACAGTTCCCTGGACCTGATAGGAAGAAAGGTAATGTTATTGGGTGTTTTAACTTCCCCTGAACAGCTGAATAGCAGCCCCACTGTTTGGAAGGGGTTTACATTCATTACATTGAGCATGGACACTGAGGTGCATCATCTTGTTTTTAGGAAGAGCAGGGAATTGTACTCAGTAATCTTATAAGTCCCTTCCAGGTTGATATATTCTTTGGTTCTATGAAACAGGGACTTCAATGGTTCAGTTAACTACCTATAATTCTATAGACTGCAGTGCCCAGGTTCCTGATCTACCACCTTTCATTCACACCAAGCCTTTCAAACCTACAAACCCCACCATTTTGTTGAGTATTACTTACACCGTGCTGGCTTTCCTCTTTGCCTGGTGCCATAAATCTCCATCCCTTCTGGATCTACACACCAGCACTGCCCCAGCTCCATGTCACACTGCACCTCATCAAAAGCCCCTGAATCCAGGCACTGAGGGATGTAGGAGATACTGCTGCTGTTGATGTATCGACTCACCAAGATCCTCTGCTTTTGCAGCTGGCAAAAGGACAAGCCTGAAGCACCAGAGAGCAGTACCGTTAGAGGAAGGTTCTTATTGGGCACTGAATCATTTATTAAGACAACATCTAAGTTTTTTTGGAACTACAAGTTCTGAGTCTGCCACCCAGGTGTTGTGAGAACATTGATGAACTTGAGGTTATGAAAATTTGCACAGAGAAACCTACCACAGATGGGGTTAACGCTCTCTAATTCAAAAGCCATTACACTAAATTGATCTTTCATTCACAATTTACCTTAGTCTGACCTTCATAAATACAGACATCCAGGTGTATCAGGATTCCATGATTAGCCCTGAAGAAACTCCAGAACTTCCACTAGTCCCAGCAAATTATAACAAACTAGAGTTCATCAAAGTCTAAGGCTAACTTATTTTTCATTTCAGCAGTTCAGATGCAGATTTAAAACAGTTCTTTACCCAATCTGAACAGAAATAGACACTTGTCACTTACAAGATATAGGATATCCACTCTGTCTGCTGCCAGGTACCTCAACACCATTCTCATCCACACACCAACAGGAGAGACCATTCCTACTGCACTGGACTGTCCTGAAGGAGATCACAAGTAATATTTTTTATTTTGTGAGTGACAGAGTTCTCAGTCAGTACCAGACGCAAAACTATAAAGCAAGCCAAACAACTTCAAGTACTTTAACATCACTAATAAGGGAATCAACAAGGGCTGTGTTTCTGGTGACTCTACTCGATGGGAGCTCTTAATTTTAGTAATTCTATGAATTCTTCAGGAATTGCAGATATGTGATTTGAAGTCATTAAGGAAGCAAACAGGTAGGACAGAATCCTGATCCTCATTATCTGAGATTCACCATACATTTTGAGATAGTTTCTAAGTCAAATCTAGAACGGCCAAAGTTTCCACCAGAGGCAACAAGATAATAGTAGAGAACATTACAATCTGTACTCAGCCTCAGCTTTAAGTTATTGGCTTCTTGCACCTTCAGGCAACACACTGCTCTCTAAATCACTGTTCTCCATATGCTTTTTTGTTCCTTTACTGCCTTTAGAAGGAAACCCAACTGTGCCACTTACAGCAGAGTGGGTAACTTCTCAGTCAACTTGGTTGAGTTGTGCCAGTTGGCACACACATTCACCTACGAGCACATGTAGGATGACAGCAGCTGCATTGCACAGCAACCTGCACCAAGTATTTAACATGCAAATAATGCTGCCAAGATTAGTCTTAGAGATTACTTCTTAGATATTATTTCCAGCAACAGAGAATTCATTCAGGAGAGGCTGGATCTGCAACATGGCTCAGTGAAGTCACTTCAAGTCTCCTGCACTCATCATCCTCAAGTCCACTGATAGAGAGGCTCTTCAAAACAGGCTCAAATTTCCATCAGCAATGAAAGGTGACCTCATATAACAGCAGATTAACAGCAGGGATGAATTACCTGAACTGGCCATCTTCTGAGCACTGAGGAACGTAGGCTTCTCCTGCTGAAAAAGCCTTTTCCCTCTGAAGTTCGCATGGACGCAGTGGTTGGGAATCTGTCTGATACTCTGAAAGCAGCAAGAAGGTAAAAACATGAGTGATTTCACCACAAACCTGTTCTTACCCTGTTAGTGCCAGCACTGCGTGGTAACAATCCCAGGTTCATGGGTCCTCTCTGGTTGTTTCCCCAGTGCTTCTTGTGTGCATTTCTGTGTGGGACAGTGAGAGGGAGGTACTGAAAAAATTTGCTGAACTGCCAGCTGCAGGATGAGCACATGGTGGAGATGCTCGTGAACCCCTTTCCCAGGCCTGTGTTTAGTTAGTCTCAGCTCTGGTCTGTACCAGCACTGGTACCTGGGGCACGTAGATTTAGTTGTGCCTGTGACCACAAAAGAGCCCTTTGCCATAACCACACATATCACTATTAAAGTTTCTGAGTAATTATTCTTTATTGAAGTCACTCATTATTTCACCAAAACAAGAGATATTTCTTCTTAATCTCATGAACAATCTAAGAAGAATCAGTCTAGCAGTAGTGTCAAACTAATTCATATTAGGAGCACTCTCAATTTTCACTGGGGTACATGATCAAATACTGAAGCCACCTAGCAAAGAAACAGTCAACTTCTCAGTTCTTAACGCATTCAAAGCTGCATTTGCTGCTGTTTTAGGAGAATGATGAAATTCAGTAAGTTCTTTTTCACAGAACAAATTAGTTGATTTGACACTTTCCCCATCCTCAAAATCTGATTAGGGTCATGCTCTTAAATCCATTGACTACTTATAAAAATACTGCAAACAAACCCATAGGTACAGTGATTTAGACCAAAGGTTCACTTGAGCTAGTATTTGTTCTGAATGAGACCACACACAGTAGTGCAAGTACATCATAAGTATTCTCAACACTTTTCACCTTCAAATATTAAATTTGCAGGTCAGGGAACTTCTGCAGCCACAGATGGTTCCTGTGCATCTAAGACCTCTCAAACACAGCTGTTTCTGTGAGTTTTTACTGTGTCTCCTTAAGACCATGTGAAAATTTTCATGAAACTGTAACATTTTACATTATCTCATACACAGACAACTACACGTAGGCAAACCTCACCATTTTCACCTCAAACATGACTCTGAGCCAGTTGCTCTGGGATGTGTGGAGATCCTTGTGTACAGTGCTGGAGAGGGTCCACCAAGACATATGAGCTAAAAGACTAATTCAGTGATTCAAATTGCTGGTTGTGCAGGACTATCAAACTCAGACGAAAGAACTAGGGGGGTGCAGCACTCAGGCTACCCAGTATCTTTAGGTTCAAGCCAAGATTAGATGATGGCACATACAGGTAGAAGATGTAATCTTAGGACCTTCACATCTCTGCAGCACCACATCTGCAGCACCATGTCTGCAGCTTTTCTTACCCAAGCTCCTTCTCTAGCCCAGTCTGTTCCTTGAGAAAACTTTTTTTTCCGCCCAAAATTCAGGTGTGCTAACTCAGATAAGCCTAACCACTTAAGATCCTTATAGTTTAGTATTTAACCTGGAGCCCAGACTCAGTTTGCACAGCATACAATAACTAGCTAAGTTTGCAGCGGGCAAGAGTCAACATAATCATATATGTCATCAGAAAAGCACACAGAGCAGCACAGAGATCACAGGACCACAGTCACCACTGTACACAGGTAGAAGAAAAGAACAAGAGTACTTACCAAATATATTGGCTGTTACTATGCTAGTAAAGCAGCAAAGAAGGGCGCAAAATGGGATGGATCCCATCTCGCGACGGGATTGCTCCATCCCTTCTGTCAGGGAGGCAGCCCTGTGCACCCCGTGTGGCCTTCACCCGCCTTTTTATAGCAACCACCACATGGATGGGTTCACTTAAGTGCTAGTAGACTGGGCATAAAATTGGGTGAGTGACGCACACGATGCTTCTGAGAAAACTGCAAGAGGCTCGTTCACCTGGAACTTCCCTCGTGGTTCTCCTCAGCCAGTTCTCATCCCCGCTCCAGGGAGCACGACTGAGCCCGGTCAGTGGAGAGGAGAACAAGTGGCAGCAGGCACAGCAGGTGGCAGGGGGGGACTCAGTTACATCAACAAGCAAATTGAGCACATTGACATGACCCCGGCCAGAGCTCTGGCTCTCACCTGCACTGGGGTGCAAACAGTATCTGTTCTCACTATTAGAAGTGCACCTTTTTGAATTCCCAGAGAGCCTGAGCCTGCTGAGGGACAGGTGAGAGTTAGGCCTGCGAGTGCTGCAGCATTAGGAGTAAATAGAATTCATAATGTGGTTATTTATTAAGTGAAAAACAGGATGGATGCAGCTCCATTGACTGAAGTGAATTGAGGGTCAGAGTAAACCGCATTCAGTCTTTTGCCTTTACTCTCATTTGCATTATGCACTTTAACACAGTCAAGAATCTGACAGAAGCAGCTTTGCTTCTTGGGCTATTCTCCAGCTATAACATCTATATGACCATAAAGCTTGTTAAGCCAAGCTTTTTGATACTAATTGCATGCAAGATCCTCAACCTAAAATATGTCAGAAATATTATTTCCTTGGTTCCAGAGTATCACTTCTTAATTGTCCACCTCTTATGAGTCAGCATTTAGTTGCACCAGGAATTATGAGAACCGACCCTCACTTGTACAAAGGTGGTTGGACAAATAAGCCCAAAATAATTAGGTAAATAATAACAGCACATGTTTGAAGTTGGATTTGGGTGGATTTCAGTAAAAAGTGAAAGCAGCACTCTTGTTTGTGATTCATGGGTACTAGACAGTCTAGAAATAACTATCTACTGATACTCTCCTACAGACCAACACTGTACTAAGAGTGATCCAAGCATCCTTCTGTGTGGGTCGTAGACCACTGTCATGCCATGGGATTTGATGTACATGGTAAATATGATCTCAAACAGCAGCACGAGTTTGATTTAGCATGACTAGGCTTTTAAAAATGAGTGGGACTATATTTGGAATTTACTTTCAAGCAACCTACTCTTGACTTGAGAAAAGTCAATAGTTTGCCAAAAGATCAAGCTGAGAAAAGATGAAGAACATGGCCAATGCAGATGACAAATCACAAAATGGCAACCTTTAGAGGCATAAAGACAACAAATCCTGTAACAGCCCTGACTGAGCAGGCACAGACAGAAACTGAATTTCTGGATTAGCATAGCAGTTGTAGGGGAAATACATGCAGAGCAAAGCAATCTGTCAAAATAGCCATTATTAACATTAGGGTGGCTGAATCAGGAAGGAAGTAAAGTTTGACCATGACATATATTTCTGACTCAAGGGTGCTTCAAGAGCATCAGGTTCATGTCTGACCTCCATGCAGTGGGGCAGACACAGGGAAGCAACCAGAAACAGCCCAGCCCAGTGACACAGGCTCTCCAGGGGCAGTAGGAGCTGTGCTTACAGGCACCACAATGGGACACACAACCAGAGTGTGTTGGGTGTGTGATACTGATTCAATCCAATTTTCTAAAGTTATTAGAAAAGTGTTATTCAGGTTCCTTGCACAGCAAAAGGGGAGAGAAGCAAGCTTGTTAAGGTCACTACTCACTTTCCTCCTTTATTCTTTGCTACAAAAGGCTGATAATGGAGTAAGGCAGACGGGAAGCCAGGAAGGTATCAAAGAGCTATTACTAACAGAAAGAAGCACAAATTCACAATATCTGAATAGTGCAGGTTCCCAAGATGACTTTTATTTCCTTCTGAAACACTCAGAAAACAACCTCTGAGCTCTTCAAGTTAGGCAGAACCGCCAAGTCTCAGAAACCTCTTAAAAAAACAAAGTAAGAAAAGGAATTTTGGCAATTTGCATCCCTTAAATCACTTCTAGATGTGCGTCAAACCAAGGTGGGCATCTTGGTACATGCACGTTCAAGGGGATGTAATAGCCCATGGATTAAAAAGGAAAAAAAAATTGTTTACAGAGCAATATGTGCAATTCACATTCATCAGAGAAAAAGAGGCACTTGTCTGTGGCTGAACAAATACAAACCAAGAAAAGTTTTGCATGACCTTCAGTGAAGGGAAAATGGAATTTACCTCTATTTTTAGCACCTGAGAAAAAAAAGAATAGTATCTTATATTAGCTCACCAATGAAGGGCAGAAAAGGAGTAAGCAAAAAAGTCCCCGAGACCATTAAGCCTTATAACTATCATGTCTTCAAAATCATTGCTCTAGTGCTGGAAATGAGGGAAAAGCTACAGCACACATTGGCAAAAGCTACTCAATCTATACTACAAACTAGAACTGCTGGGGGAAAGACAAAGGTCAGTGAGAGGAGACACTGAAATCACAAACCTCAAGGGAGAAGCAGACATTTATTCGTTGTTCCAGTTTTGCATACACTTTCTTTGCAGAAGAGATGGTCTGTGCAACTGCAGTTTTTACATGTCAAAAAGCCCAAGGATAAATGATTCCTGTATATGAATACACAGACAACTGTAGACACAAAAAAGTTACTCTTACCCAAATAAAACTTGAGCCTGAGAAGTCAACCTTAGCTTAAGAAAACTTGAGGGAGCCTCTGGAATGAGGCAGCAAATTGGAAGCAAAAAATTTTAAGAACTGAAAACACTGTGAAATCATGCCCACATCAATCAGTTCATTTATTTAAAAATAATAAATTGTTCTGTGTTAAATAAAGCACCAATATCAGATAGTTCTCTCACATATTTTAGGAAAACTATGTAAAAACAAGACTAACACCATTTATTACACTTACAGATAGACAACTAAGGTTTACAGTCAGTACATTTCTTTCCAAGACCTTGTGAAGCACTTATCTTTATCATCTCTGATTAAGTCCTCATGTGATGCAAAATTAAAAGATGACAGGATGACAGCCTCAGATAATACACCTTTCAGTCACTTTATACATGACATATTCTTCAAATTGAAAGAATGGGGAAGTTCCAATAATTTCCATGCTAAACTTGGCTAGATCAGAAAAGTGGGTACAGGACTTGTCAATTGTTTTTAATTATAATTTAGCATAGGAGAAAAATGCCTTTGGTGACAGAAGAACCTAAAGAAGCCCACGTAAGAACATTTGAATTTGCATTTGTCCCTGGAGAAATCAACCATTTCTAGGCTAGGTAAAATCTTACTCATTGAAGATAATACAATTGTCCTCTATCAAATATACCACAGTGATTCAAAGTAGAAAAATATTTATTTTCACAACAACTAGGATGCAAGTTGGCTTGAAATCCCAAGCAGGAGCCAGATCTGCAACCTGCAGTGACACAAAGGATTTGCACCTTGAATCAACTGAATGTTTGACAAACACAAGCTGATGCAGTGAGAAAAGTCACCACCAGTCACACAAGGGCAGTAACAGGGTGCCAAACTCTGAGTGTTGATGGGACAAAACTACTTTGGGTCTTTTTGATAATGCAACAATTAACCTTCTCTGAACTGAAGGCAATGGTGTAGAGCCAATGGAGTCAGAAAAGAAGTTCAAGGACAAACACAACCCCTGCCACACAACAAAGGTGTGAATTCAGTAAGCCACCAATGAAAAAAGATGGATTAAACTAAAGGAGCACAAGCCTGTCAGGGAGTGTTTAAACTGATGGACTTCATAAAAATTTTGGTAAGGGAAACCTCAGTTTAACAGAAGTGAAAGATTTATTTAGGGAAAGGCCAATTTGTACAGATATGACATTGTTTCTACTGCATATAAGACACAGGGCTGACCAGATGGTTGGCCTGACTTGGGAAACCTCATCTTTAAAAACTCTGCTAATTAAAAAAAAAAGTGTTTTGGTGTATTGCTCCAAGATCTGAATTTGGCCTTGCACCTTAAATTTGAGAGACCATTTTGGGAGGGTCCCTTAAACAATGATTAAAATGTTTCAGAATTAAAATTTTCAAGTTGGCAACATTTACGATCATATCTTTTTTTTTTTATGTGAACAACAGAACAATTTTTCTGTAAGAGTAACTCATTGAGATTCTGTCCAATTTCATTCATCTGCTGCTTGCCATTTGTGCCCTGGTCCACAGGATGTCTAAGAGAAGAACCTTCTTAGCATTGTTGGCTTATTTATTTTCTACCACAGCAGAGTGCGGAACAGCTTGTGGGCAATATTAAAATAAATCATTAAAAGCAAACTGAAGTTACTTTGTAAATGACACTGTACAAAGGCACAAAACACCCTTAGAAGGCCCACAAGAAGAGATGCCATCACTGTGAACATGCTGAAAAGACATTGTTTTTTAAGAAGCCAGTCCATTGCAAAACTCAAACCTTGAAATTGTTAAACATCAAAGCAGTTCAGGAATAGAAAAATCTTCCACTTACTTAGCTACACAGTAATTAATTCAGTACTGTAAAAATAATTTACTGACTGTATATTTTGCCTACAGGCTAAAATACAATTAAAGCTTTGCAATGTAGACAAATGAGTATCAATGACTGCACACAAGTTATGGACTACAGGCTAAACATGCAACTGAAGATTCCTGAATGCTTTAAAACATACTCAAACAACCACTAGCTCTCCAAAAGAAAAGTCCATGGAATGGGAGCCCAGGCACATAACAATCTCAACAGACCTTTATTGTGAGTATTAGAATGCAGTCAACATTATTGCTATTATAAAAAACAAATCACAGAAGTATTTTGCTTCTCTCATAGAAGATTTAATCATAGTGCAGTGCTGCCTCTCTCAGAGTGTTTAGTGACAATACACTGATGAACGAGCTACAGCTGAACAGAGGAGGCTCCGGCCAGTTTTAAGGAAGGCTG